TCCTAACTAGACTAAAATTCTTCACGCGTCGGCTGTTGTGAAAATACCTCGCGATTTTCGCATCGTGATGGACAACTCTGTGCGACATGATAGCAGAACCCGTATTAAATCCGACGTATTTGTTTCTTTGTTGCTTTTCGTCCCCTTATAAATTCCCCCGAATATACAAAATAAAATCTCTTTCTGTGACATCACATTCCTCGAAGTAACTTCATTCCCTCTCCCCTCCTGTTGTCTTTTTTCCATCTCGATAATCCGTCGGGAAACGACGGGATACCCGCGGCGAATTTGGCGCATTTTCCCTTAGCTCGATACCGATCGCAGCTGCAAATAGGACATCGAGTTGAGCAAGTGTCGATGATTAACATCCCCGGTCATCGGCGGGGAGACCGAGCGTCGATTCGATCGCCCCCTCGCGCGTCGTGAGAGTAGGCCGTGATTTCTTGTTCTCGTCGCGCCGATCACGATCGGCTTGCTTATNGGGGGGGGGGGGGGGGGCCTTATTCTACAGAGATCGGCGGATCGAGTGCCAGGAGGTAGCTGAAGGAGAGGGTGGAGCAACGGCGGCACAGGCGGACGTTCGTCCAGCATCGTCCACTTTATTTTTCGCTTCACCCACGCGCATATAGATCGTCCAAAGACACATTTTCTCTCCAACACACCTCAAATATAATTATCTCAATCCGATCGTCTCTCGATCGGCAGCACTCGACACGCATACATACACGCACAAGTGCACACACACGTATTCTCACTCTCTCTTTCTCTCTCTCTCTCTCTCTCTCCTCTCTTTCTCTTTCTCTCCCTTTCTCTCTTCACTATCTTTCTCTCTCTCTCTCTCTTTCTCTCTTGCACGCAACACACCAAGTATCATCCACACACGCAACATTTTTTTTTTCTTTTTTTATTTGTTTAATTAGTTCGCCCATCTCATCGCGGCGGTGGCGTCGCTCGTACTTGGCGTCTGATCCCGAGAAAGAGGGCTCGGGAGTTCCGGTTGCTAAACGTCGCGGGGAGCCTCAGCGAGTGTAGTACATACTTCAGCTGAATCACGCAATCGCTGAATCGTGCAGGGGCAACTCTCCCTGTCTCTCCCGCGGCGATTTCACGGAAGCGCGAGATCCACCCGCGGATTTCACGACTTTCCTTTTTGATATTATCACTACTACTACGCTATTGAAGTTTTTTTTGTCGGGTGCGACGGTGTTAATTGATTAACACAGTTAGTCACACTATGGAACACGCGATTCTTAATTGACGGATCGCAGTTCGGAGATCATCGATCGACGGTGTCCCCCCGGAAGCTCGCGTCACTTCGACCGACACGCGTCTCCGCGAGCGGAATTCTCACGCCTTCGGCGAGACGGGGTATCGTGCGGGGAGCAGGGAAGAAAACGAAGGAAAAACAAGAGGAACGACTCGCTTGTACACTCCCGCGATGCCGCTGGTCGAGCGCCATCGCCGCGCGGTCAAGCGCATCGAACAACAGATTTACGCGTTGGGCTCGTGTTTCGCGGCTCAATCGTTAAAAAATATTATCGAAAATATTGTCTCGTACGTACAAGGACACCGCAGGCGGGCGGCGCATCGCGGGGACGTCCACGAGCCCGCGGGATCGTCCGGGATCTCCGAAGAACGGCGACGCTGCGGCTGCTACTAGTGCAAGGTGTCAGGGTAATGAATCTAAGAGTCCCGTCGGAAATACTGGGTTGTTCGGTAGATTCGCGCGGATTTTTCCACGAAAAACGTCTAAGACGCACCCAAAAACGCAAGCAGTAAGCAAACTGAAGCAATCGCAGTCGAGGAGTAAGGAGAATAATCGACGTGATTGGTCAATTTTCTTACTGTTCATTTTCCTTCAATGACCTGCCATCGAGAACAAAAACAGCCGATAGATTACTGACCGAAGTTACGGCCATGTATAAAAGCATCTGCCTTGAAACTTTCGCAGAAACGAAACGTACGAACTGACCGAGCAACCCAACATGTTCCGAGTCAAATATGTCCAGTGACTACGTTTAAATACGAAGACAAACGTGCGAAGGAGAGAAAGGCGTGAAAGCGTACTGTCGATCTTTCTCTTCTCTTTGGCATCTCCTCTTCTCGGCTTTCCAGCCTGTTCGAGCACGAGGAATTTCCGATTTTTCAGGGCACGCTCGCTTTCCAGTGACATTCCGGCGATTATTTCTGACAATATGGTCGGTGAGACCTGAATCACACTAGAGCAGATTTCTCCGTCGATCCCGCGGCCCGACGGACGGCGCGATCCGGCCCGCCCCGCGATACAAAATTTATATTTTACTTTTACACATGTTTGCTTTCGTTTTCTCCGTACATCGACGATCCGTTCTCCCTTCTCGAACGTGACGCCGCGATTCACGACGAATCACGAGCCAACCACATCACATCACGCCATCATCAACACCCTCATCATCTCTCATTCTCAGCAGCATCAACATCATTCTCAGCATCAGCAACATCATCATCATCATTGTCACCAATCATCTCTTTCTCTCTCTCTCGCTCTCTATCTTTCTCTCTTTCTCTCTCTCAATCTCTCTCTCCGATCCGCTCTTTCAGTCATCATCGACGCATCCTTAAGTATAAACTTCACTCCCTATTTCACAGCGCACATCATCACTGATACAGCGTAATGCACACGACTTTTAAATGTAAACTACGTAATACGCTCTCACACGTACACGTTCCCTAATAAGCATCGCACGCACTCTAGGAGTCTCGACGATGAAAAGGCTAACAACTAATTAGTCGACAAGGCGTCGCTTTGTCGCACTATGAGTTTCCCCCCGGGCTGGCTTCGCGTTGTGCCTGCTGCGGCGGGACAAAAGGTCCTCGTCGTCGCGCACCGGGGACGACCTTACGCCGGAAGGACGGCCTTCCGTCAAGACCTAGCGTGCGGAAGACGGTCGTTGCGGCGGAACGTCGTTTGTGGGGATGGTGTCGTCTTTCGAAGGGAGGGCTTGTCACACAGCGGTGAGTGATAATCTAGAGAGCGGCGTCGGAGTCCGATGATTATTCTTCTGAGAGAACTCTTGTTGTTGCGTTAACCTCCTATGACTTTTAAGAATCTTTGGCATGTGAACGTTCAAGACTTACGAGACGGACTTGTTTACGCGGATTCCCCGAGGCTCCGGCTGATAGAGGATTTTGCTCGCGGTCCTCTCCCTCCCCCGATACTACAGAACAGGAGAGCTAATTGAGGAAAGGGACGAGGATCGTCCGTCCGACGAGGACGTCGTGCACGATGCTCGTGCGAAGCCAGCCCGATGAAGCACGGTACTCGCGAGTGGACTCTCTCCTCTGCCGACGATCCCGACATGTGCGTTTCAGGCTCGATCAGGTTCTCGAGGTAGAAGGGAAAAAAAGGGGACTTCGATCGTAGGATATGCTGGATCAGGATCGTCCGACAGAGTCCGTCGTCCGTTGGCGATCGAACCGCGTAAGGACCGCGCGGTGTCGCGTGAACCGTGCTCTCGTCAGGGTAGAACGTCGACCCCTCGCACACGAGAGTCTCTCCGAAAATCACAGTCGCATATAAATCTATTATTTCTTCTTTGTTTTTTTTGTATTTTCGTATCTTTTGTCACCCTTCCGTCAGGCGGCCGACTGTATCTCGTCGCTCCGCTTCGTCTTCTACGATCTCCCTCTTTCTTTCTCTCCCTCTCACGCTCTCTTCCTGTCATTCTCTATCTTTCTCTCTCTCTCTCTCTTGCGTCACAAACCTAAAACTTCGCTTCAACCATTCACCAACAAATGTCACACTTCACTCTCGCACCTGATTTTTCTCCACTTGCGCTTTTCATCTCCTCCCTCCCCCCTCTCACACTGGTGGGAACCGACGACGCAATTCGCCGTGACTTCATACCGGTACCGAATCGATCTTTTGGAGAACACATTTGCTGATGCAAAGATAACCATTGCGCAATTGAAAATGTAACCAAGTAAAAATTTAGGAAAAATAATAAAATCATCCTTATTTTATATAATATTTTCTAATAAAGATAAGTTGCTGGAGCATATGTCAACTTATATAATCTTTAACGTGACTCAATGTTTTTTGAATTTTCAGTTTTGGTATTTCGATCATTCTCTCTCGATTTAGATATGTACAAGTTGATAATAATAAAGATTAAAAACTCAACAGAGAGAGAGAGCACGAAAAACATACGGATTAAAAATGATCATCATTTTCTATTCGACTGTATGTGACTTCTTTTCGCCTTCGTTAGAACAATAAAATTCTGGGTAAGTATAGATTCCATACATTATCTGAATTCGGATTGGCTGTCTGTGTATTATTAATCAATATTAAAGAGCAGATGATTTCTAGATGATGAGTTTCCAATTTGGTATAAAATTTCGAAACAACAATCAATCTCGGCACCGGTTAATAACAAAATCAGAATCAGCTACGAATTCCGACGACCGTCATGTAGAGAAATTGCAAGCTCTCACTTTCACTCTTTTCCTTTTTCTCTTTCTCTCTCTCTCTATCTTTCCCTCTTTCTCTCACTCTCTTCGTCTAATCACTACTATATGGAATGTATAAAAGAAAAGGATACTCGCGTCTCTTTACCGAGTCTATCGCGATCGAGCAATTTGTTATCGATCGCGATTGTTAACCAACCGTCGTCGGTGATAACCATGCTGATACAGTAAGTTATCAAAATAATCTCGGCGAAGTTTTGGCGTCCAGGGGGCATTGCGTTTCGATAAAGAGAATATAATTGACTCTCTCGATAAACACAAAGCGGTATGTTGAGATTAATTAATTACTAAGTATGAAAAAGAAAGAAACAACAGCCAACCAAATAAAAACCAAATCGCGGCTATTGTAGCGATGTATGTAAATTATTACATCGAGGGAGGATATAAATATTCATTGCGTATTACGTACGCACCAAAAAATTTTTTGGACAAACGTATATAAATCATTATTTAATCAATTAAATAATAAATTATCAAGTGAGAAACGGAATCAAATAATAATTTCATTTAATTTATTAATTAGGGGACGTTTCAGGTGTTTTAATAATAAATTACATCATTGGGATTCAAGATTCTTTCGCGGAAGGCTGATTCGTTGCATACGTTTGTCCAAAAAATTTTTTGGTGTGTACGTAATACGCAATGAATATTTATATTCTCCCTCGATGTAATAATTTACACACATCGCTACAAAATCGCGATTTGGTTCTTATCGGTCATTATTTCTTCCTTTCTTAGTTGGTCACTAATAGAGCCGTTTGTTAATATTCGTAATAATTAATTACCATTGACCGTGCGGAAATATTTAACTATTGCATTTTTGTGTGCTAAGTTACTTAATAAATTTTGTCAGATCAAGTGGTATCATGTTTTGCAATTTATTATTTCAAAAAAAAAAAAGAGATACAAAAATGTGTCCGACAGATTTTTGAAAATCGCTATTGAACAAATAGCACCAGCAGCCTTAAAATACATACAGAAATGAAATTCCTCGGATAAATATTGCCACAAATTCGAAATAATTTTCCTGCGCATTTGCAAGAAGGAAATATATCAACCCGCGACAAGACATTAGTTTTACCTTACAATTTGTGAAAATCTTTTGTCATAGAAAAATAGTTTATATCCTTCTTCTTTGAAAGAGGTTCTAAAAAAAATATATATTCGTCCTTATTGTGTGTGTATTCTATTAAATATTAATATATCGATAGAGATCCTTCAAATCGGTAATTAAATGTTTCACTTGCTTATTTACAATTTGGCAATATGTTACAAATTACCTATCGAGAATAGTCCATCATTATCATCATGTCTCATCGTTACAAGACTTAAACGCGTAAATGAAAAATCAAGTTGATGTAAACACCACTCAAACGAATAAAAAACAAACAGGTTATCTTTCCTCTCTTAATCTTTCTGTATATCGCGCGTTACATAAGTATAGATGCGACTTAAAATGATTCTCGTAAAAAAACCCAGACTACGAAAGTATCGTGTGGCAACACTTATGCGGGTATGCAACCAACGTCGTCACATTGCAAAATAATATTCACAAGTATAAAAAATCACCAGAGGAGAACGCGTACGTCTCGTTTTGTACGTGCATCGGTTTCATCGACGAGAAAATTCAAGTCGCACGAGAATTCTGGCCTAGAGACGCAAGGTATGTAATAATAAATCAGCCAACGTGTGATCGTCCGATACATTCTCACAGTCTCATTTATCGGATGGGTGCCAGAGAAAATTGTGCGTTTTCACGCTTACGTTTGTTAAAACACGCTTGCCTCGTGTTTTAAACTTGAGAACTTGAGACTCCTACGCTACGTCATTATGCATCATCACCCTCTCTTTCTTTCTTTCTTTCTTTCTTTCTCTCTCTCTCTCTCTCTCTCTCTCTCTCTCTCTCTCTCTCGCACTCCAAAATTCACATAAGAGGCGGATACGAGTAAGGGACGAGGACAGGGTATATTACGAACGAAATCGTTATAAAATACTCAAATTACGAAAAGTACCGGCACACCCGCTGGCGAAAGTATTTGGAATGCATGGCACTACCACAGACACGTTTCTCGACGACGCGACGTAACCCACGTATCGCATTGTTACGGCACCGACCGGCCGGCCTCTTTTCCCTTTTTATCTTTTTTTTGACAGAATGTCACTATACACTTGTCATGACATGTTACGTATCTAATCCAGTTTCCGAAAATACGCGAGGTAATAGACTCTATATACTGAACACGATTCGCGGTCGGCACGGCGCTGGCTACGTGTCATCAAGGACGCGGTACAAGCGGAGGTAGAAGTACGGGATACTTGAGACAACCCGGTCAAATGTTGGAGGAGTTGCTTGCACGAATCTCGAGACTTTATTCGCGATCTCGTTCGCGATGAGATCCGTCACTCTTTCTCTTTCCAAGTGACACTAGGCTATGTCAATCACCCGTTTAACGTGACTCGACTAGTTTACGCGATTACGGTACCGCTTCGAAGTGCTGGTGAACCGTGAAAGGGCCCTCCCGTCATGCAAAAGCATCACGACGGGACGGACGTCCCTGCACGGCAACGTGCGACCGGGAAGACGATGATTTCACCCAAAACGGACTCGAGTGATTTGCGGTGCGCCTCAGACGTCTCACATGGAAGGAAGAAACGAGTGTTTAAAAAATGTCTGGACAAGCCGTGCAGCGTTGTTCCAATGGCAGTGCGAAAAGCTCTCTCTCTCTCTCTCTCTCTCTCTCTCTCTCTCTCTCTCTTTCTCTCTCTCGCGCGCGCTCCTCGTCTGTGGCGCTACTTGCGAGTACCGTGATCGCGTAAAGTGCTCGATTACTAAGAGGGATGCACGTGTGTAGTATGTATATCAACGGGGTCAGGGCAGGGAGAGTGTTTGAGAGGGCAGAAGTGGGGGGCGGTGGGTGGGTAGGTGAGTGGATGGGTTAGTGGAGTGGGATTGATCTTGAGCACTCGATATCATTTGTTCCTACGGACGTTTAAGGCCGGACGAGGACTTCAGTACAACTAAATCACTTATACCAGCAAAATATTAACTTTAATGAACCAACAGAGCAACAGACATTCACGTGTATACGGGGGGGAAAAGTAACATATACAACTCGTCTCATACAACTACAACAGATCACGCGATATACTCGCGCAGCACGATCAGAACAGGGTTCATCCATCACGAATTCCCCTGATCTTTCACATTCAGTCTCTCTTTCTCTCATTGCCAGTCACCCTATCTCTTTCTCTCCCTCTCTCTCTCTCTCTGCCTCGTTATTCATTCGCACCTCGCTCAGATTACACAGGAAACTGAAATCTCTTTCATACGTGCATAAATTCGACTCTCAGCAATGATAGCTATAAGATGTGATTCGGAATCTGGTGCACATCGTTAAAAAGCTCGACAAGGGCTTCGCAACGTGTCAACCGTGAATCAAAAAGTCTATCGTCTTTTCTCTTTCACATACACACACATACATATACACACATACACACGCGCGTTTGTATTTTACTATATCTTACATTCTCTTTCTTCCTCATCTCTCTCTCTCTCTCTCTCTCTCTTTCATGCTGTCACTTTATTCATCCAAAATTCTCCCTATGTCTTTCATTCTCACTCTTCTTCACTCACACATGTACTCTCCGTTCAGCCTTTCTCGGTTTTGCTTGATTACACTCGTAGCATCTCACTTTCTCCTTCTCTTGCATATCTTCTTCCGTTCATTCCTCTCACAGCTCACAATCATCACGTCCATCGAAGTAGTCTTCTCAACAGATTTAACCTCTCAATCACGCGGGTAGAAGTCGCAAACTCGTTTACCAAGCATACTTGCAACATCTCTCTCTCTCTCTCTCTCTCTCTCTCTCTCTCTCTCTCTATCTCTCTCTCTCTCAGCAGGCTTCGGCCTTGGCTCATTCATCGGCAACATCCACTTGCACTCCTCATCATCCATTGTCGGTATTCGGCAGACAGGTACTACTTATTTACTCTCTCTCTCTCTCTCTCTCTCTCTCTCGCACACTCTCTTTTTCTCTCTATCTCGCGCACGCTCGTTCTCTCACTCGTTTTCTCTCTTTCTTTCTCTCTCTCTCTCTCTCGCTAAATACCCTTTCTCTCGGATCATAGGCTGCGCTCGACGCCGATATCGATAAAATACCGTCGCCAGGATAGGGACACGTGCAGACTCATCACCCCATCTCTTCGGAACTCACGCACATCCATCAACTCGCATCCGCAACATCCAATCTTGTTGTCTTTGTATTGTGTTTGATAGCTTTCTAGTCAAATCAAATTGCACGACAGTACAACCGTGGGGTGATCTGTAAACAACAAAAGCGAGCCAAATATCAGTCACCGTCGCTCATCGGTGCTTCCGTTTGGGGAGGGAGGGGTTCCGGGCACAGGCGTCTATCGCGGTATACACGGCGAGTCCGGTGAGGGACAGAGAAGAACGCTACAACGAATTCGTAGCGCATTCCTCTCGACATTGGGATCCGGAGATCCTCAATGCCGCCGCATGCTCGCGTGCTCGTCTATGCGCGCGCTTCCTCTCTCTCTCTCTCTCTCTCTCTTTCTCTTCCGCCCTCCCCCTACTTTATATATCCTCTAACGTTCCTACCCTAACTACACTCGCTACGGAAATATCGCTGTTAAACGACGAACGACACTCGCCATCGCAGCAACGAGGACAATGCACGGCAACGAGAGAGATGTAACTGATCAAATGTGCGAAAAAAAAAACATGAAAAGGCGGCGGAGAAGGTAAAAGCGCGTGAAGAGAAGCGGTTAAAGTAATGAGGCTACAATCCCGTCGCTAGTGAGATATATATATACGGACCTGTATGACTGTATAAACTCAAAAGGAAATGCAGTGTCGGGGTGCGTCTTTTCGAGCGATCCGCGCCGAGGTAATTGCGAACAATCGAAACATGGTGTTGACATGAGTGTCGAGGCAAAATGGTGGGGTACTCACCAACTGGACGTAGCGTTGGCGGCGGTCTTGAGCTTTCGAATCTCTTTGGCGGCCCAGCTCGCCAGAGTTTTGGTTTTATGAGTGCGCGACTTCCGGCCCTTGGCCAGCAGCTCGTTGAGCGGCTCGGTTTCCACCATCGGCAGTAGTTTGGCTCCGAAGACGGTAACGAGGTCGCCCAACAGACCCACGGAGGCCGACACGTTACCCTCGGAGTGCTCGCGATCCTGGGCGATGGCTGTGATGAATTGCAGGATGTACGGCACGTGCGGCTCGATCAGAGCAATGGCGGCGTCCGGACAGTTAGTGCCGTCCCCGCGAAGGCCCTGGACTATGCCGGTGTAAGCCTCGAGCACGCCTTCGCGCAACTCGTTCAGATAGTCGATCATGTCGTAGTCGCTTCTGTCGACGTTAGCCTGCGACGCCTGCACCAGGGTCTGCAGCACGACGTCCAGGTACTTCTTGAACTCGGGACCGATGCTCAGCGCGATGTCGCCGAAGGCCGAGAAGATCTGGGGTTTCACCGACCGGTGGACCGCGTTGTTGCCAAGATTCTCGAGCAACAGTGTCATGATCTCGTCGCAGTAGGGTAGCATCTTGTTCTTGAGGGCACGGCAGATGTCGCCGGTCAAACCGACCGCGGCGCAGCACACCTGATATTCCGCGTGATTCTTCAAGCCGAGGCAGAGGTACGGCTTGAACGCCTCCATGTACTTCAAGAAGCCCTCGCCGAGCACCTCGACCAGAGTGGAGACCGCCATGAGCGCGTCCTCCTGAACGCCGCCCGCCTTGCAAGAATTGGAGCTGAACATGGCTAGCAGTGCGGTCATGATTACGTCGGATATCTGCGGTGCGTCCTCAGCGGTCACCTTACGTAGTACCGACTGCAAGGTTGCGCACAGAAGAGACTGCAGATCGTTGTATTGCGCACGATCCGAGTGGCTCTGTATGTGCGACTCCATCTGCAGTACTTGCTGTAGTCTCTCCAATATCACCATCGTGGTCTTTTGCACGGTAACGTAACAGTCGCGCGGCGAATTCTTCACCATCTCCATCAGCGCCTCGTAAGCGGCGGATCTCAGATTCGCCTGCGCCCCGTCCGGTCGGTCCGTCGTTTCCAGGAGCCGTTGAACGATGAAATCGAAGTACTGGGACATGCAGTACGTTTCCGGCTGATTGCCATCCTCGGTGGCTTCCGCGGACTCGTAGCTCGCCTCCGCCAGACCGGTGAACGCCCAGCACACGTTCGCGGCGACGCGCGGCTCGGCCTTCAGCCCGTTCACCAGGGACTCCAGCAGCGGCTTCAGATAGGTCTCGTTTATCGCGGCGTCCGGAATGATCTCGCATATGCGGCCGAACGTCCACGCAGCTGTGTCCCGGACGACCACACTGTTGTCGTACATCAGCTCGATGAGAGTGGGCATCGCCTGCTCCACCAGCGGTTTCAAAGTGGTGGGCTCCAGACCACCCAGGATGGAGCCGAAAGCCATCAGAGCCGCGTCTCTGTACCTCCAATCGGGGCTCTTGATGTTGTCTTTGACGAACGGAAGAACGAACGGAACGATGCTCTCCTCGCAGCAAGAGGACAACAGCATCAGACAGACACCGGCGGCCTTCGAGGGGTTCCAATCGTCTTCGTCGTCGAACTCTTCCTGTTTGGTCAGCTTCTTCATGAGCACCGGCACGAGAAACTGCAGAGCCCCCTTGGCGTAGTGCCGCGAAACCTTCAGCGGCAGCCGGCCTCCCTCCGACGCCTCGCCCTCTTCCATCGACAAGTCGACTTCCTCGTCGGATACATTCGACCAGAATTCAATTCCCTGCAGCGCCACCTCATCGATATCGGACTTCATAGCCTCCAAAGTGATCTGCAACAAAACCCCCATCAGCAGGTGCATACGATCGATGCCATTTCGGGGCCTGAAGGTGTCTCTAGAAGTCACTCGATTGACTGAGAAAGCCACATTTAAGGCACTTTTATCAATAAAAGTGCGTTCTGAACGGATCTTTGTATTTAAGTCATTCTCAAGAGATGTATTTTCCTATCGGATGTATTGCGAAACTCATCGGAAAAAAATTGAGCTGCCTTCTTGTGAATGATGGGTATTAAAAATATAGTATCGGTTATAGTGAGTGACTTTCGATTTAAACGAATGTAACGAGCGTGATGATGTTTCTTCTCCTTTATTATCATAGTAATTTCCTTTCTTTTGCTCTCAATTTTCGCCCGTGTTCACCGAATAAATCGATCAACTAGTACTTACGGGAAAGAGTGCTGGCGCCATGTATGGTTCCATGTACTGATAGTACAGAGACATAATTTTCACGAGACACTGTAATGCAGCCACTCTGATTTGTGTATTAGTGGACTGAGTAGCCTCACATACAACTTCCATGATGAAGTTTCTCTCTGACTGCAAACAGAAAATGAATTGTTAAACCAACGTTTATCGCACCGTAAAATTTGCGTGCGCAACCACCAACCTCCTTCTCGAAATTTCCTTTGGTGAACTCGAGTGAATTGTACAACGCGCTTGTGGCCGCCAATCGAACATGATTCGACGTGCCCGAACCGTTCATGCCGTGAATGATAGCGGTGAGAATCTGATTTGACTGCGACACTAATACTTCGCTCTCGATCTCTTGGCAGATATATCCGATAGTCTCTAGAGTAGCTTCCTTCATTATGTCGGTACTGGACGGGTTGGTGACATTATTGAGTAGCACCTCTATCAACTCATTCCACTGCCCCACAGGCAACTCGGCAACAGCGACGTAAGCGACACATTGTGCCGCGGAACTTGGCCTATTGTTCTCAGTTCCTAATGCTCCTAAAATCTGCAAGAGAGCAAACGTCCCGCTTTGTCACATGCAAGGAAAATGGCACTTGTGTGTCTACGGTATGTACGGTTTACTTGAAAATTTCACTTATTAACACCAACATTTCAATAATGCATACTTCTGACCAATAAGTCGAAGGGATGCTCTTAATGAGTTTTGGTTTTAACTATATTCCACATGAGCTAACTTGCAGATTAAAGTTTTCACACACGTATCTAACGTTAAAACATTGAGTGGGAAAGAGGAAAGTAATGATAAAGCTATTATTTTATCTCTCTTTCCCGAGTGTATCATTTGTATAACACAAGAAAAATCGTACATCATATATCTAACGTTAAAACATCGAGTGGGAAAGAGAAAGGTAGTGATAAAGCTATTATTTTACCTCTCTTTCCCGAGTTTATCATTTGTATAACACAAGTAAAATCGTATATCATATATAATACAAGCATTTACCACAAACAATATTATATATAGTATGCAAATAATATGCATTCATCATGATATAAATTCGCCTATTTCATCGTCATATTTCATCATATTATTTTCTATCATCGAAAGACAAAGTGGACATAGATATTATCTGATAACCTAGAATAAACGCTGCTTTATTAGAAAACTTGTGCCTGGTTCCAGTAGCAAAGTTAAAGACTAATCAATGATTAACTCAACTGAATTGACCAAAACAGCATTGATCAGTTCAGCTAATTCCCTAATGTGATTGGTCAATTATGTTCAGTTAGTCATCGATTAGTTCCAAACCTTAATTGTGAAAGTGAACAAAGTGAAATAGCGACAATAAAGCGAAGTCCTTGATAAACACACGGTACTTACATTTTTCTTGATGTATTCCCTTGTTTCAGCGGGAATAGCAAGCCAGCGTTGCTGGTACTGGAACTTCATGTCGGGATCCTTGGAGGTAAGTTGGTTCTTGAGCTGTAAGCCCGCTGCCATACGGGCGATGGGGCTCGCGCCGACTGTGAACAGCACAGCGCTGAGTCGTTGTACGAATTCATGCTGCAACACGCGACGGAGTAAATTAAGATGAGCGGTCATTTGTATATCACAGAATTCTCGTATAAATCTCTCATTGCCACGTTTACTCACGAGATTAGCATCAGCCGCCTGTTGGAGAAAGCTCTGTGCAGCCACCAGCTCATTTTTATCTGCAAAGAAAATGAATACATCGCATACCCGGTATCTCTCTCCGCTACGTCGGGAGGCTGCGAATTCTAGGTTAGAGAGTAGACGAGCACGACCGTACGGGGTGCGAGAGAGCCAACCGTCGCACACACGCACGCAGGACAATACTTTTCCCGCGGCGAACAAAGCGCCTAGCAACAGCCCGCCGGAGCACGATATCGCGCCGCCGCTGTCGGAGCTGGCCCGCTGCATCTCATCCGTTCGCATCGGCGACGGAGCCGACGTCGGGGAAGGCGCGATGCGAGCCCGCGGACGGCAGCCACGTTGTGCACGTTGCGACAGAAATCGTCGGAGCGGACGGAGCGCAACGTGCACGCGGGCGCGACGTCATTATCTCGCGTAGATCCGTCTGTCGTGCGCGCGCGAGCACGACGGGGATCGGCGAGCGAAATTTCGAGGGGAAAAAGCGGACGGGCGAAAACGGGCCGGTACACGTTGTACGTGACACCGCGCGACGGCACGCGAAGGTAGCTCCCATCGTACTCACCCGACGAAACGGTCCTCTCGAGGACCTGGATTAGCTGTAACGTCGTCGGATCCATCTGCATGATTACGGTGAAGTGTTCCCGATCACACGGCTCGTCACACGGTACCCGTCGTCCCTCGGCGGTGCAACGCAGAAGGAAGTTTTATATCTGCTCCCTGGCACGAAAAATCTCCTTGTCGCGGCCGGCGGATACCCACATGTAGCCACCACCGAATCAACTGCCTTCGACGTCCCCCCCACTCAGACGCCCACTTCCTGCTGGCTGCTGTCTCTCTCTCTCTCTCTCCTTCTCTATCTCTCTCTTTCTCTCTCTCTCGCGCCGGAGCGAACCGCCGTCTATCTCCCTCTTCTTCCTCTTTCTCCCCTTGACTCGCGCACTCGTTTCCGTCACACAGCAACGTGCGGCGCAGTGATACAAGCACCTTTGATATTCTCGCGCCCGATCCTCGCACGAACGACTCGGCCCGCGACAGGCGCGCACGCGAAAATGCAATGTCCTTCCCGGAGGATGACGCAACGGCGGAGCGACGATGTTTTTCCAAACGCGAAACCACCGTCGCATTTTTCAAGCGCGACAGTGTTATGTCTCCAAAGAGGCGAACTACTTTCTTGGCGCGCGCGGATGCACGTCGCGCGCGTGCGTGAACCGCCGCGGACGCACCACCTAGCGGTACGATGGCGCAGCGCGTTAGTCGCGCAGCCGTGCGCTGACCGTTGGAGGGAGGGCTTCTCGATATGAAACGTTCAAAATAGAGGTGGATGATGTCGCTGAGAAAGAAGGTATATCCAGGTAGTCGATTGTGAAACATATCGCTTTCTAATAGCCGATTATATTTTTCAGATATTGAAAGAAAGAGAGAGAATTGTAGCGCTTGGAAAAGTCTCTCAATTTTATTACTCAACTCTGTATTGGCCGTATAGTTTCCATCATTTTAATTGATGTCCACGTAGAATAGACGAGATTCAATGCACTGTGACTCTCCCTCTTTGGCAAAAATAATAGTAATATAATGATTCAAGAAGCGTTTTTTTTTATAAATTACAGTTTTCAGTTTCTCTGTACATGTATGTTCAAATATAAAATTCCTTACAGTAATAATATACAAATCAAAATCCGGCAAATGCAAAAATCCTTGAATCGAAAAATCATATACAAATAAATTAATTTTATTTATACAAATATGTAATATAATATAGTTATATAATATTACTGTTGAATGCTTGCTTGCTAAAATAATTAAAAAGCAAGTATAAATTAAAGGATATAAAATGAAATAAATATATAAGTTAAAAATCGGGTCAGCTTGCTGCTTGTCGATTGACATGATTGGTAGTATGACGAAAATAGGATGATTGATTATTGACTCTTTGCGGATTCCCATTTTGTAGATATAGTATGGACACGAATCAAGCGACTTAACCGATAACACTGGAAAGTTGGTGTAATTAATTTACATCCACTTCTTCAGAGAGCGCGTTGAAAGGAGGATTCTAAAAAATTTTTAAGGCACGATCTTTTTTTTTCTCTTGTTATTCTTTTCTTATAGCTTAACCATTCTTAAACTTCTTCATCACAACTTTCGAATTACCTGACCAAATCCAAAAAATGGAATATTATTTCATAGTGTGTAGTTCTAATATCTCCGCTATGAGTCGCTACTATCTTCAATAAGCAATCGAAGTAATACAACTCGTCGATAGGGCAGAAGTACTTTCATTTTCAAGTAGTGTGACCCAACAGCAAGACAGATGTATTTTTACTTCATCAAGAGAAGTAAATAAAATATACTACAAACTGTAATTTCGATAAATATGATGATTATGAAATACGTAACGAACGTTGTATACTGTTTCCGTTCGTTTTATGTTAGCGATTAAAGCTGAAAGAACATTCTTTGCTTCAACGTTAAATAACTCTCAAACAAAAATAATATTATACTGTAATCTAAAAATACGCAAATTAAAAGGGATGGTCCGCGATCTCAAGCTATCATTTAACTAACTTTTTTTATTTACGCGATAGAATATGACAAATTTGATAAAAAATATTGCGTACTTCAATTTATATTTGCGTAGCATCATAAAAAATAAGCTTTACATTCGAAAATGTATTTCTAAAGTAAAACCTATAAGCTGTAATATTTTCTGAAAACATCTTGTTGGTATTATTTTTACGGAGATTATAGAATTTCTAAAGTCGTTGAATTGTTCTTATTTTTGTAATCGCGATTTAATCTTATATATATGTATTTTATATGATAAAATTGTACTGTAATTGATATATTATTTTTGACGCATAAAAAATATAACGCTGCACCGATAACTGCACTACTATTTTTTATACCTTTTTGTACTTGCGTATGTTCTACTTTCGTTTTAGTATAATTTCAATGCAACTAGGAAAACAAATATCTTAGTTGTTCTAGGGAACATACAGTCGATACTTTTAATGTCATGTTATTGGGTGCAATTTAATTGGAATGTTATCGGCGTGATACCTGTCATTTTGCTATCCAGCGAAAATCTTTCTTCAGGCGAACGGTGTAATTAGAGAATAGCAATGATACGGTTTACGTATGATTGCCGAGAGCAGTAAATCGTGTGCCTATTCAATACTAGCTGTAATCTATAATCAAGATGAACAGTAACGATCGTTTAATGGTCATATTTATCCTTCGATCGATACGTAGAATACACCGCTGATGTATATTCTTCGTCATTCAAGGTTTCATGTATATAGTGTTAGTTTATTATTAGTGAATTCAATATCGAGAGAGACGGAGGGAGGCAGAAAAAGAGGGGAAGTCTACTAAATAAAACTTCATATATGTACATAAATAAATTTATGACAAATAAATGCACTACTTCTCTCTCTCTCTCTCTCTCTCTCTCTATCCTTCACACTGAAATAATCTCATGAAAGCATATAAAAAACAAACAAAAAATAAAATTTTCAACATAGAGAACCGAAGCCTAGTATACTCTGTTACACAAAACTTGCAAATTTATCTCCTAAAAAAGGAACATCGTAGTTCGCTTTTTTACATATTTACGAGAATTCAACTTTAAGATTATTCGACGAAATATCACGTTGTCGAAAGTCCCTACTACATCTACTTTCAAGCAACTGTAGTCAATTAATCACTGATCAGCTTCATCTTTCGCGCTCCTTCGCATTTTGCCAGTGAAACCATCCGTAAATTTACAGCCTGTTACGTAGAACAGCAACAGCGTCCGGATCTACAGTGTTTATTCGCGCATTTGAATTGTAGAACCGGCGTGTTAGAGTCATCGCTAGGTGGGCGCAACTGCTTTCCTCAAGTTACAAGGGTGAATTAATTCGAAATGCAACCCTTGAATTACCGATGTAAACGAATCGTTACGAAAAGCAAGATAGAGAAAAAGGGAGAGACGGTGAGAAGGGCTCGAGTGGAAAGGACGTGAAAAACTCTCAGCTGACCGATCGTTTTAGTAGATTTAATGAAACGATATACAGAATACATTTGCTTTCGTAATGCATCGCAACGCATTCTCGCGTGCCTTACCATCTATATCACATGTCAATTTTTTATTTATAAAATATAATCGTTACAATTTTTTTTGTTCTCATGTCTTGCCATTAAACTGCATCCTCGTCATATATCGAAAGTATATATTTATATATATTTTTTTTATGTATATATAATATATTTATTCATTTATGTATATATATATATATATTCATTTATGTATATCTGTATTTATATATTTATATATTTATATATATATATATATATTTATATATTTATATATTTTCTTTATATATTTATATATTATTTTTCAAGCGAGAGGAAACTGTGTGTGGCTCGGCACAGAATTACAACGAATCAGGCCGGAAAGAAGGTTTCATGAATGTGCGCGCGTGTATAGATGTATGTGTGTGTGTGTGTGCGTGTGTGTGTATGGTATATACTCTCTAATACAATATTACGCAGTAACATATTCACGTGATATAATGCAACGCGTCGCCGCGTACGACGGTCGTACGGATGAAAAGGTCGGCGATCGCGCGCCGAGAGAGTATCCTCCTCTCACGATTTCTTTATTGTCGCTCGTCGGAGTTACACCTGCCGCCACTTTCTCTCCGTCTCTTTTTTCATCCATTTTTCCTTCTTCCTTTCGCGCATTGATCGCACAATTGTACAGTGGATTCAGACGACGACCTCGCGGCGCAATTAATTTCCGACTTTTCAGCCCGCACGACCATCGACCACACGCTGACGTTTCCGTCGTTTCCTTCAACTTTCCCCGCTTCGTTTGGTTTCGCGATTAATACATTCGATCGGCCGCGTCACACGTATATGTATGATGCGGCGTGTGTGAGAAAGGGGAAGGAGAAAGATCGACGATCAGTCGAGATATCTAGTAGTTTCAGTGCGAATTTTCTCTTCCTACACTTACGTGAACATCGGCTGGCAGCCGTTCGCACCGTTTCTCTGTGTATAAAAGTATACGTGTGTGTGTTTTGTGCTGTTTGTTTGTTTGTTTGCTTGCATTAATTTCGTAGATTTATTTTCGGTGCAACGCTCACTCTTCATATATGCATATGTGTTCAGCGCGTGTACATTATGTGTCGTATATTTATAAAAACGCGAGTTTCTGGCCGAGCGTGCGGACGTTCGTACGAGACAGGATGGGATCGGTGAAAATTAATTGGGAAACAAAACCTTGTAATTGAAGAGGATTTAATATTTCGTAAAGCGCGCAAATAAATCCGTCCGGTTTAAACGAAACGCGATATTTATTTGACGCGCACGACCCTGCTGACTAATTTATATTGGATCATTATTAAGTCGGAAATTCGCCCACGGTTACCGTAAATTGTAATCGGAAGATTGCGCTTGCGGGTGAAATTTATAGAAAGAGGAAAAATACGTCCGAATATATTATATCCATGTTTCAATTGTTTGTGAAAGTAAAATTAACTGTTCTCTCACGTTTTTTTTTTTTACAGTGAAGATAAAGGAAAAACATTTCTGCGATTCACATAAAGTCGCATGTGTAAAGAGTCTTGTAGTATGCTGTCTGAAATAATAGCAAGAAAGTTAATTATACTCCCGATAAGAGGAGCTTGATTAATTAGTTCCATGCAAGAGGAACTCTGTCAGAATCGGGAACTAATCGGCGCAAGCCGATCGGAAAATTGGAAAGATCTCGGAAATTAGCACAGCACTTCGTGTGATATATCGTGCATGTCTTCTCGTGGTTACCTCTCCATCACTCTGACGAAGAATCGACAGTTCCCGCATAATTTTCACCGCGAGGGGACACCCTGTGTACACGAACGTACGCCGCTTCGCTAACCAGCGATAAATTGCCCTCGAATAAACTCAGTTGCAATGTCGATCGAGAAATAATTTATTAACAAAACTTCGGAGAGAATTAAATAATCTGTTGATCGAACATTTATTGTATACATCGATGAAACGGGGAAAGGGGAAATTTACACCTAACGGAATTGACTGTTATTTCGTTACAGCAATGACAGATAATCGGTTAAACAACAATGTCAGGACGATTCTCGTTCGTTTCGCCGCGAGAACGCGACGACTGTCCATTGTAATCATGCCCGAACGATTTTGCCCTTCTTCCCGCTCTCCATCTAACTTTCTCTCTCTCTTTCTCTCTCTATCTTTCCTCCTCTCTCGCCTATTCTCCCTATGACGGTTTCTCGTAAAAAATAATTCGCCGCAGCGCTGGGTCCAGGGACGATTTTTCGCGACCAGGAGCGGAAGACACATCAGTCTCGCGCTTGTTTTCGCGCGGACTCTCGTTGAGAAAAAAAAAATATATATATATATATTTATACATAGTTATATATGCGTAGGAACAAAAACACACATCGCCTCGAATCCATTCCACCCTCCCCTTGACGAGTGGGTGGAACTTGGGGTTTCCTCGTTCTAGTTGAGCCCTCTGCGAAATCCCGATCTCGATCTTCATCCGACCGATGATAACTCCTCTCCCGAAATCTCCACTGGACTCAACACTTGATTCGCACGGACGAAACAGTCGATCCCCTGTGCTCGAGGATCCCGTCAAAAGATGAAACTTGATATGAGAAGAAGATAAGGCGAATCTCGGGCGAAGCGCTCGTCCTCGAGAAATTCCGATCGCGTCGGAGCATTTCTTACAAATATGAAAAACGACTTGTACGTTTCTTTTTTTCGCTTTTTTTTTCTCCTTTTTTATTGCGACAGATCGATGCCAATGCGCGCCGCTGGATCTTATTTTGTCATCACGATACTAAATTATTACTTTAATCTCAATTATCAAAATTATTACTTTTCACGTCAAAGTTTAACTTCTCTCTCGTCTCTTTATCTTAAGCAGAATTTTCTCTCGACTCGCCTATCAACTGGTCCATCATTGGATTGCTCATCTTCGCGTGCGGAGGACGGACGAAAATATTTATTTATCTGCCGAGAAACAGCGGTTTTCCCAAGTATTTCAAGCTCAGACCTTAACGTTCTCTCTATACGCCTAGAAATATTTGTAACAATCTCTCATAATTATGCTAAGAGACTCTCTTCACACATCCTTAAGAGGTACTCATTTTTAGAAATTCTAAAGGCGAGACTCACCAGCAAAGTGACGTCGAAACGTTAAATGGTTAGAGTGTCCTCTCATACGTATACCTCTAAACACCTTCAACAATCGACAATTCGTGAAGATCATCCGTCTTTCTTCTTTACTAAATTATACTGGCGAGGCATCGGCACCGGTCTGTTATTTTAAATAAGAATCTCCCTATCCTTATTGCTATCGGCTTCGGGGCGCGAAACAGTTTTCCCAGCAGGAACAAACGCTTCCGGATTTTCAGATCTCTCGCACGATCCTCGAACAAGAAGAAACCAAGTCGACGCTTTTGCCCGTGTTATCCTAATTTCGATCGCAAGGGTCGCCCAACCTTTGCACCCTCGGATCCTGTTTACCTTGCATTCTTACCGGGCATTTTGTCTTTTGAACACTTGCACGCGTATCCATCCGCAAACGTGAACGCATACATTAACGAATCGATCAACCGGTACGCGGAAAAACGTTCTCAGGGGCGTGCTGAATTTTCTTTTCCCTTCCTCCCTATTTCCTTTTTTTGGGGGGAGCGGAGGGGGGAATCTAGCGCGTGTCATCCTTCATGTGTTGCTGTTGTCTCGGATTTTTACGATGTGACATTGTGAATTTCGCTCGTGAGAAACGGAATTTCGCCACATCCCTGTGTGTAATTGGAACATTAAGATAAATTGATCTTAATTAAGCCGTTATCGCGTGTGCTCGTATGCGCGCAATACTATGCTCGCGTTATAGAAGATATCGCGCTGATATCGGCCACTACAATGGCGGTGTCCACTGCGATCGCCATGCGTGATAAGAGCATTACGGCGGACATGTTACGCATCGAGAGACAATTTGCGCAAAATTTCGATGCCGCTTGTAGAGCGTTAAAGAAAAATTTTGGGACGACAGTGCTCTTTTTTTTATCGTAATGTATATCAACAACTGTCTCGCGAGTATCTGTAATTTTCTGGAGCGAAAGTGAAAGCGGATATATCGAAGCAATCTCGTTCTGTCGCGAGCGTGTTGAAACGATCGGCATGGCGATCACCCTGGAACACCGCTTCTTCGTTAACAATTATTAACACGTAGCAATACCACACAATGATTAGTTAATCCTTCACGGCCAATGTGTCGTCGTGTTATTTACACTCTGGGCAATTAAGTGTCATTGACATTTTCACGGTTGAACGGTACTTTTCCCTCTCGAATATGTGATTTTGTAAAGAAAACAAAAAAAGAAGGCTTTCTTCAATCATTTTCAAATTAATTATCTCTGGGTCTGGACTCAACCTGACGCGGAATAAATACTCTTCAGGCCGCAAAGCATTAATCTCTTCAAGTTAATAATTAGAGAGTCGGAGGAGAATTCTCGAGAAGTGTCGCGACGGCTTTCGAAAGAATCGGAGGCACAATCGCGGCCGAAGAAAGATTCATTAATCAGGGAGCGATTTCCGTTTCCAGTGGCGAAACCGAGAGCGCGCGGCCGCGAACGTTTAACTTCCTCCGTATGACTTCGCGAGTGATACTGTTAAACGAAATACAAGAGACAAGTCGTGATTCGAGGAATCACGATCGAATGGAGATCTGACGAAGGACGAGATCGATCAGAATCGATTCTGTCCAGCTCGTGAGGCGTCGGACATTTGCGGATGTACACGGCTTTAGATTAACATATACACACGTAATTATCGTATCTATTGTGCACGTACAGGTAATTAAGGTGATTTCTGTCTGTATGTCTGTGTGTGTGTGTGTATGTCTTTGCGTATCTATGTGGATCACGGCGTGAGGACAATGCCTAATCTGTCGTGTTAAGCTCGGTCTACATAACTCGCAGAAAGCGAGACGCGAGTCGCGAACGCAGACGCAGGATGACGCATCGGCTCACGCGAGGATCATCTTGAGTCTGCGTTTGCGAACCCGAGTCTTGCGTTCTGCGAGCTACTACGTAAACGGGGCTTTACGGAGTTCGGATCGCGTTGCGATTGCGGCGGCTGTTATCGTAAGATTGCGCTGGTAGAGGTAGCTTTGCACCGTGCAGAGAGAGATTTCATTGTTATTCGATGAGAATGACTACATTGTGGTCCGTGAAGGTAATCGACCGGTTAGTAATAACGAGAACTAATCGTGGACGTTAACGCTCAAGATTGCGGACTATCTTGTCGAATTGCATTATTCTTCTTGGTATATAATCAATTAAATTTAAATAATTTTCTTCAAAACATATCAAAGTCATTAATGTTTTTCGATTCCCGATCATAACTGAAGATGATTTTGCAGCATTCAGGGTCGAATCAAATAAAAGAATTGTACTTTCGCGTCCCGACAAATTGAAGGAGAAAAAAGAAAGAGATAAAAGTGTTCTTCCTCGGTGATTTAAAGAATCAAACGCGGACCGGAATTGAGAGAGAGAGAGAGAGAGAGAGAGAACATATTTCTCGGAGCTTCCATATTGAAATCCGGAACTTAAATAATTAATCGTGTGACCTGTTTTTTCTCATTTGTGATGCAAAGTTACCGTCAACGACGCGATCTCACGATGCTTTTACGGTATTCGAACGTGGATAAAATATCAAGATATACACTGAAAACAGAGATGCGTGTCGATTGCGGTGATCCCGCCGGCGAGGACGCTCGCTTGAGAAGATCCGACCAGCATCCTCTATCGTCTGTCGAAGGCGTCGGTCGAAGGGCACTGAAGGCAATGAAGGGCGCTTTAACGATGGCGACGACGACGACGACGACGGCGACGGCGAAGCTTCTTACTGTAGCGAGACAATGGTAACACAAGGTGGTAGTAAAGGTAGCGCTGGTAACAGTGGTAGTAGTAGTAGTGGTAGTAACGTCATAGAGTAGTAATGCTATCGATAAGTAGTAGTAGTAAGTATAACGGTATAGTAAAGTAGTAGTTTGTAATAGTTAAGTAGTAGTAGCGGCGCGTTATATAAATAGGACACTCTACGTTAGTTTGATTAAAAGTAAATGTCATAACGTAATAGGTAACTTTAAGCCGGGCCCGCCTCGCCGTCGCGCGAAGACGCTTTCTCCATTTTCTCGGCCCTCGGACGAGGCGGACCCGCGTTGTTCGCCTTAGCTCTCTAAAATCACATTAAACGCAAGAGTAGTGGTAAAGGGTCGATCGATATCGACCACGCGCCTCGGGCGCGACGCTCGAGCGACGCTGACGATGCCAAGTGAGTTCGCGGGCGCTGATGCGAGAGGGACGAGAATCGCGGGAAGGAGGGCTAGGAAAGATTTGCCGAATCCTCGATAAACAACCGGTGATAATCGATCGATGGAGGTGTAAAAGGTGCGTGTAAAAAGTGTCTATAAAAATACTACGATTAAAATATATCTAGTAGAGAGAGAAAGAGAGAGAGAGAGAGAGAGTAGCCTATTCGATTTCTCTACAGTCCCGTTGTGAACTCATAAAATAATGGCGACGCTTCATCTTTCATTAGCGCGTAGAGATACTTCAGGGTTACGCGCACTGCGAACTACGTATACTACACCTTTCGAGTGTGCGTGAGCCCTATTCCAGTTACCATCAGCGCGAGTATGTTTCATTGCTCTGCCGAACATCGACTCGACTCTAGAATCCAAAGGGCGCACTGTCGTGAGAGAGAGAAAGAGACGCGCGTGTGCGTGTGTGTGTGTGTGATCGCGACCGAATGAGAAGGATAAGGAGAGGATATCGAATTCGCGCGACGGAACTAGCTTTAAAGATTCGGGAGAACCAGTTCTTTTTCTTGTCAATTTTTCCGCGGGAAACGCGAGAGAACTTTTCCCCCTATTTTTCCTACAGACTCCCTTGGTTTCCTTTCGCGGAGAAATTGGAAGAATCGTAACTGTTTGAATGATAGAACAGAGACCTTTCGCGTCCGGCGAACGCGAGATAAGCGTAAAGCGCGACCAACGGCATCGTCCGGCGCCGCCGAGAGCGCGGCCGAATATAGTCACATCCTACGTCTACTGTCAAGACGGGAGGGCCCACGACAGTCGCTCGCGCCCTCCCCGCCGTTGCTCTGATATGTTGCGAATCGCCGATGCGTTTCCCCGCGACGGGCAAGAAGGTATTGCCGAAGGTAATACACGTGATTGAGAAGTGGCGGGTCGCGCGTGCCGGCCGTGGACGAGGCGACGAGCCGAGGAGTAATCCGCCGTGCGTGCGTGCGTGCGTGCGTGCGTACCTGCGTGTGCGCGCGCGCGCCCGCGCGCGCGCGGACAGCCTCGTACAAACTAGGTAGAAAAGTGAGAAAAATTCGCGTCCTTCGCGCAATGAGAGGAGCCCCCCCTCCTTCCCGTCCATCCTTCGAGTCCGCACGAAATCTACAGCTAGAAGGGAAAATAGCGAAACACCACGCCGCCGGCCTCTCGCCGTCCCGTCCGCGGTCATCGCTGCGCCCGCTACCGACCGACCGGCACGTTGCGGCATGCGTCGTTGGAACGATGGTAGCAGCAATAGTAATGCACTTACTATTGGTATTAACAGCGGGCGACGTCTGACACCCACCACCCGACACGTCGCGCACGCAGAGACCTGCGTCCAGGCGTTCTGTACACTCGCATTCGCGCGTAAATACACATACACACATGCGTTCACACGCTCGCTCGTCCGCTCACATTCATGTGCATTCGTTCGTTCGTTCATTTATCCGTTCGTTCGTCCGTTTGTTCGTTCGTTCATACGTACGTACAATAAACTTTCCCTTAAAGTAAGCGTCCGCGTGGAATCCGCGCGGACAGCCTCCGGCCGTTTCTTTCTTTCTTTCTCTCTCGTTCAGCTCGACGTGAGACCGTCGATGTGCTCCTCGGGACGAGAAGCCGTCCGTGCGTGACTCCACGGGACCGTACGAGGTCTTACACGCAAGAGGAGAGTAAAGCTACGTGTGTGTACGAACTAAAGAAAGGATGCAATCAGAAGAAAGATAACGCAACCGCACGGGGTCTGAAAGTAAGTAATTGTTCTATGTGTGTGCTGGCAAGCCGTAGGCTCGGGGCTCGGAGGGCGATTAGAAGGGCAAGCTACCGACGAACATCGTCTCGATCAGGGGCGGCGCCGGCACCAGGTCCTCCAGCTTTAGGTAGAAGATCCGCTGGAGGCCCTGGACCGAGAGACTCCTCAGCTCCGGTAGCTTCCCCAACAGGTAGGACAGGTACTGCGACTTCCTCTGCGCCTCGGCGTTGTATGTCACGTGATCGCGCAGGGACGAGATGATCTTCATCTGCAGCTGCTCCATGCGCTGCGGCTCCTTCAACCCGTACCTCTCTGAAAGTACACACGCACGCGAGCGTTGATTTCCACCTGCACCTAGATTTACTCGTATTCGACGAATTACACTTTCAAGATCAAGTGAAAGCTCTGAAAGTGATAGAGAACCGGTAAATATTTATCTATGAGAGTAACGGGAGAAAAATCGTGCAACAGAAAAAAAACAAGAGTTCCAATAATGAATTTCGAGAAAATGTTCGGTATGTATATATAGAGTTAAATTATAATATACTAGAATTAATTCGGGAATTCTCTCGAAATACTTTATTGTCTCGTGCTCATAAATTACGCTCCCAATAAAATTCCAAACTCCTGTTTCTTCTCCTGGCACGCGATTGTTTATTGTTATTCTCATAAGTAATATTAATTCTTCGTCTTCACTTTCAGAGGATTCATTTGAAGTTGAAAAATGACGAAAATAGCTCGATATGTGAAAATCGCGTAATATCAATCATGGCGGTACGGTGGCTATCGTAACGTCGAGACCGCGATTGAACGCTCTTGCAGACCGCACACCTGCGCGCCCGGATCGCGTGCAAAACGCGGAACATCGCCGCTTCTTTCGTCGGAACATCAATAACTAATTGACCCGACGGATTAATTATTTAGACCGTAGACAGGCCGATATAACTAGGAGGCGTAGAAGGCGGGACGAAGAGCGGGGCGAAGGAAGATTAAGGGGAGCGTGCGGTGTGGCTGTTGCACGAACGTTAAAGGGCCGCCGACGAGGCAGCGAGGTGAAAGTGGCAAGTTGCGACGTTAATTGCGCACTTAATATTCACAGTGGTAGCGATTACTGTGTGGTGATTCGCTTAATGGTGCCAATTAACACGGCGAAGAGAGAAGTTTATTGAATGGTGACAGGGAGGGAGGAAAGATACTGACCAGTGACGAGGGTAAGGGCGCACAGGCAGGCGAAGGCGCTGATGTCGACCTCCAAGAAGTGAAGGGCTTTGCAGAAGTCGAGGATACTGTGCAGCCAGTCGCCGAAACTGCGCTGACACTGCTCCAGCGCGAGCACGACGCCGTTGCAGAACACCAGCTTTGTGTCGTCCGGATTCGTGCGGTACGCCAGCCTGAGCACGAACAGTTCCAGGCTGGCCGACTGGAAGAGCAGTTCCTGAGAAGTCAGAAATAATGTCGCGAGATTAACACACACATGCACGTGGCCGATGAGACGATGCAACGAAGAAACGTGACGCGAAAGATGCCGTTCTCCCTATCGCGGTAATCCGAAGCGGACCAACGAGAGATGGTCGGTCGCAAGAAGGTTGCGACGCTTTTCTTCTTTATGAGTTTCGCAATCTCGTATCCAAATGTATTTCCCGAGAATTACTGAAAAACAGACAGCACAATGTCTAAAATCGAGACGTAAGACGTCTTTAAGATGGGACGTGAAACGTCTCATGTCTCAATTTTGGACATTGTGTTGTCTGGACAAATTCTCCTATCGGCATTCCGGGTTTACACGTCGATGAGAAATCATGTCGAAGTCAAGTTGAAATTATGTGGAAATTAATTAATTCGACTTGATATTTATAAAACTTCATCGCGATATCTAGAAGATGTTATGCAAATGTTGATGATTTTATCGTTATCCGGTTTACATCATATCCATAGCAAAATGATACATGGATGTGATGATTCGATTTGATACCAATTAAGTAGACCGGCTAGATCATCAATAACCGGTTGATACCTACATAATACCTTCTGTCACATAGATATTACATAAATAACTAACATATCAGCATGATGTTAACAAAATGCAGCGTCGATTCTCCTTTGCGTATCGATAAAAGATCCAGTAGTTATCAGATCGATCCGAAAAATCAGTCATCGGTACCGAACCGATCGTCGACTTGTGAACTCGGGATGCGTTCCGAAATTTATAAAGAGAAAAGTTGCATCCTTTTCATGACTAATCATAAACACAGGCCGGTTAACGCGAGAAATAAATGACACGCGAAGCTGCTGGTCGAGCTACTGGCCGTTTATTAACATGTAACGCACATCGTTCCGCTGATTGATTCATTGTGCTTTCAACGGAATAATATCCATTTTAGACACAATAGCCGCCTGAGCCGGCAATATGTCCGCTGGTAGCGACATATTAACAAATTAACGTCCGCCGTTCGACCAAGCAGCCTACCAGACAGCCGAGCGCGGCCGGTCGCGTCGAAAGCTCGTCAAGATTGACCTTTTAGAAAATGTATGAGCTATCGATCTCTATAACCGCTTCTTCCCAATGGATATCGCCTGAGACTCGATATCCGATCGTGATATATAGCCGACTGTCAGATTGGCGCGCATTTCGACGACGGAAAAAAAAAAGAGGAGCACCGCCGCGGGGAACGAGAAAGGAAAAGTCGACGATGAACTCTCGCGGCTCGTTCTCGTCCTGGTTGATTGAAATTTCGAAGAGTTTGATGTGCAAAACTCTATAATAAGAACATTTTCTCGAAAAAGCAACCAGCGAACTTTCTGAGTGTGTGTGTGTGTGTGTATGTGTGTATATCGGACGATCGCGTGCTAAAACGCTCCACCGTTCTCAAGTTACCGGCCTCTCACCTGATCTTCCCGTACTAGATCCGTGAAACCGGGGATTTTATCGGCAAAGTTTCGGATGACGTCGATCGAAGTCGTCAGCAGATTGTAGAACTGTTGGATCTTCTCGGCCTCGGTGATCGGAGGGTCGCCTGGTCTCGGTTGCCGATACTGCGAGTAGTCAAGGCTCGCCTTGTCCGGAGTTGTGTCCAGGTGAGCGCGGACCAGAGCGGTGATCAGGGAGACCGGCGGGCTCGGTGGGGATTCTTGCGGGGATTTGGGCTTCGAGGGCAGCCTACCTCGCCGGCCCTTCAGAGAATCTGTCCTGACGACCTGTCCAACGGTAAACGACCACTTCTTAATCCCACGCTCTCGCAAGTGTAAGTCCAATAATTGTTATGTTGTCTCCAATAACTGTGCAACTCATCGGGTTGATGCAAAAGTCGGCACAACGGTTCGTCCCGTTCTTTAATCGGTTCTTCGCTCAGAAATCTCAGGATTTCTACGAGCACAGCTACCGGAAAGATGGGCAAGTCATCGAATAAAGTTACTTAAAATTGGCGTATACTTAAAATTGACCGATTGTATTTTCAAGTAAGTAAAACAAATCTTACGTGTACGTCCTACATTAAAAACGGGGACGAGATCTTTTGCAACAACCCAATTCACTTGATCAGCTTTAATGCGAACGTTCATCGTCGAGCTTTGAATCTCGGAAGAAGATATTCGACCGATCTAAGTACTGTGAATACTTGTGCCTCGAGAACGTGATCAGATCGTTGCTCCGCTCACGTCCCGACGTAACACATTCTTTATACATTAACACATTCTCATCGATCGACATTATCCTCGCATTGATTATCGGCGCAAATCGACGACGGACGGACGGACATCGAGACAGAGGGAGTAGTTCCGGTTGTTTCTTACGTTACATAATGCTACCCACCTCCTTGACCATGCCGACCGCCAGGCACTTCTGGAACCGGCAGAACTGGCAGCGGTTTCGCCGGCGCTTGTCCACCGGGCATGCCTTCTCGGCTAAGCACACGTACTTGGAGCCCTTCTGCACGGTCCTCTTGAAGAAGCCCTTGCAGCCCTCGCACGTGCGCACGCCGTAATGCTGGCAGGCCGCGGTGTCGCCACAGACGGCGCAGAGCTGGCTCGGGCTCGGAGGCGCGCGTTCGCCACCACTGGTGCCGCTCCCGGGCGACGGCGAACTTACGGAACTCGCGGTGCCACCGCTGCCGCTGCCGCGCGGCTTCGGGGACTCTGTGCTCCCGCTACTGTTAACACGACACAGGACGCGCATTGATCTATAACCCGTCGTTAGTCAGAATGCTTCTTTCCAAAATCCACCGCGTCTCGTGCTCCCCCCCCCCCCCC